ACTGGTAACTCCCCACAGCATAGCTGCAATATTGTAGTAACCCCCATAGATGTAATATTGACTTCTATTCTGACTGGTAACCCCCCACAGCATAACTGAAATATTGTAGTAACCCCCATAGATGTAATATTGACTTCTATTCTGACTTGTAACCCAACGCAGCATAGCTGCAATACTGTAGTAACCCCCATAGATTTAATATTGACTTCTATTCTGACTGGAAACCCCCCACAGCATAGCTTCAATATTGTAGTAACCTCCATAGATGTAATATTGACTCCTATTCGGACTAGCAACACCCCCCCCCCCTCACTGCTGTACAATGGACGCCTATTCTAACTAGTAGCCCCAAAGCTGTGTATTTACTCCTATACCGATTAGTGCCCCCCTACCCCATGAACCTGTTTTACAGGCTCCGATCCTGACTTGTAACACTTATACTACAACACAGCAGCCATTTAGAAATATTCATTTTATTTATATACTTTTAATCTGCAGTTGACAATGTCTACGAAGAACCTGTCGGCGCCAATTGAACTAGAATGGCACGCTCAAGCCGGAAACTAGCTTTAGACCTTTTTTTTTTTTTTAAAATAACATAATTTTAGTCATTAAAATGTTCTAGGCACTTCAGAAGAACTTAAAATGTTTATGTAATTTGTTTTTTTTATCATTTTTAAACAAAAAGTTGCAAAATAAATCATTTGCATTTTTATTTTTTTTTTAAATATATATTTAATTAAAAAATCCTGAGTTCTTTTAAGAATCTTTTAAAAAGTAACGTCAATAAAAGTTATCCAGTCCAACATTCCCGATCTCTAAGCTTCGAGTCTAGCGAAAGGAACCAAATAATTCAGCCAATAGTTTCATATCTGCTCAGGTGGAAAGTTGATGCTCCGAAAGCTTTAAATGCTGGATTTTTACTACTATTTAGATTAAATATTTCAACCATGAAATTAGAGTCTTTATTTTATCTTAAACGAAAAAAAAACAAAACAACTCTTGTCCTTAATTTAAAATCAAGCTTTTTATTTTAATACCTTTTTTTATAAACAAAATATTTTAAAAATTATGTACATAATGAACAATTTACAAACAACATACACATTTTAAAAAATCATGTACTGAAATAACATATTTGCAAAATAGTTCCTGAAATTCTAAATAAATAGTTTTTATTATGTGAAACATTAGTTTCTAGTAGAAATTATTTAACATAAAGGAAAAATGGATTGGAATTATTTATCAAAATTAATTAATGTAATATTCTGTCTTTATATTTTCTTATGTTTTGAATTATGTTTTGTTTTTTAAATCTAAAGAGTGTTTCTAATGTAATGTTTGTGCAATTATTTTTGTGAAAAAAGCCTTAAGTCTGTGGTGCCATGCATGTTTTCTGTACTGTGAAAGAAGTATTAGACATTTGTGTGTTGTTTCTTGATTTGGATTCTGGGATTGTGTTTCATGTTATGGCTCTGATTATATCTATTGTGTGAACTGTACCTGCTTGTATGATGTTTAAGTTTAAATTTAGTCTTTAAGATTGTGATTCATGTCAGATGTAAATGTTGCTCTGTCTCATCAGCCTCTGTCCTGCAGAGTGGACATTCTATGTGCCTAACTCTGTCCTTGTATGGACGTGATGAGACTGGTGTTATGTTGTATGAGTCTAAATGTGTTTTCTTTGTCTTTATTTTTATTTCATTAATGTGTGTATTTTTACATGTATTCTATGTTTTATTGTTCCATAAACATGTGTCCATTTTATCCTATTGTAGTGTAGTAATGCTTTGCTCTTAATTAGATGTGTGTAAATTTATTTGTTTGTCTTTTGTATAAGTGTTTAATTTCCTTTTAATGCTTGGCGCCATGCCATGTGAAATTCTGATTGTTTTCTCCCTATGTAATGAGGATTGCTATTGTTAATTTTTTGCTGTCCTAACTTTATCCCTATGTTATATTAATGTGTAATATGTGTAAATATATGTTCATCCTTTTTTCCAATGGCTTGTCCAATAAATTTGATTCTAAGTGCCTGAAGTTTTGTTTGTTTGTCTCGTAGATTAATCCCCCTTTCTAATTTAGATTGGATTAATGTTGCATTTTTAATGTTTTGTATTGTTCCTTGAAATGTGTATCCTCATGTGTAAGTTGATTTGTTTTAAAAGTGTTGGTGAAGGCCCCCATATATTCCTTCTGTATATTTTTGGGGAATTACATATGTGTTTATGATTGTGCTCTTGCCAAAAACGTGTGTGCTGTGTATTTGTGTCTCTTAATTATTTTGTCATAGATTGTTCAATGTTTTTCCATGTTTCTGTGTTAGTTTGGGTATTTTTGTTTGAAAAATGTCTCCTATAAATCCTAAGACTTCTCTTTTACCATTCATAAAGGTAATTCTTATCATTTTGTGTGACCTACTTATCTCCAAAAATCTTGATATTATTATTGAAATTGACTTATCATAAATAGGAAAAAATAGTGTAATCTGCATATGCAATGACTCTTTGCCCCAGGGATCCCTTCTCCTTTAATACTTTCCTCCCTTCTAACTCTCTCTAGTAGGGTTCAAATGATATAATATAAAGGTAAGGGGATAAAGGACACCCTTGTTTAACTGATCTGTCAATTTTAATGTCTTTAGAAAGTGTGTTGTTTATTATAAGATTACTAATGGGTGACTTGCATAAAGTTTTAACCCAATAACAAAAACACTCCCTTATTTTTTGTGTTGTAATATTTTATGTAGGTATGTATGGTCTTGATCTAGGGATAATATGAAAGTTTAGATGTTTTTGTCATTTGAATATTGAATGAAGTCTCTAATGAAATGATTGTGGTTATGTATGTCCCTGCCTTTGATGCTGCATTGTTAGTTTGTATGTATTAGGGCTTTTAAATGTAGTTTTAATTTATTAGCTTGAGTTTTTTTGCGCGAATTGTATAGTCTGTTTTGAGTAAAGATATGGGTCTATGATTTTTAAATTGTGTTCTGTATATTTTTATGTAAAACCGTAATGCATTAAGTGTTCACTGAGTGAAGTAACTCCTATTTGCATAAACTTCTTCTAGTCTGGCTTGTAAAATTGGCCCATTGTTGTGAAAAAGATAAGGTAGAATTCCGTTGTTAGGCCATCTGGTCAAGGTGTTTTGTTTTTGTTCATAATGTTTTGTTGTTTGCTTATGTAATCGTTTTTTTTCCCTTTCCTGTGTTATATTTTTGTTAATTTTTGTGTGTAAATTGTGTGTACTTATCTTGTGTAAATGACTTAGTTTGCTCTGTTCCGAAAAGTTCTGTAGTATTTTTCAAATGTGTTTACTATCTTTGGAGTGTTAGTGTGTGTTTTCCCTTCTGTGTAACTCCTAACATGTGCCCCATTGTATTTTGTTGTTTTAATTTTTCTCGTACTTCTTCTAATTCTTGTATCTTGTGGATGAAAGGATTGTTTGCTTTCTCTGTTGGTATGAGTATTTCTAATTCTTTTTCTCCTTCTCTGAGTTGTCTGTGTAAGTGTGATGCAAACTTTTGTGTGAAATGTTTGACTAAAGATTTTATAAGTTGCCAGTGTTGTCCTATATTGTTGTATAACTTTATTAAAGAAATCTGTGTACTGATTGTTTGCTTCATTTATTGTATATATTTTTTATATAGAATCTTTCAGTTCTTGTTATGGTGTTGATCGTGTTTCGTGTAAATGTTGTTTCTCCCCCCCCCTTTTGTTTAATGATTTGTATGCGTCTACCATGTTATATGTCTCTTTTATGTATTGTATTATTTCTGTTCATGTTGTTTTTTCCAAAATTGTATCTCTTCTTTTTGGGTTTGTTGTATCTAAAGTGCTTGTTATATAGTTGCAATACCATTCAAAATTGACTTTTCCTCTTTTGTGTGTGTATCTAAGTGTTTGTACTAGTGTGTTGTAAAATGGCGATATTTCTGTGTGTTGTGAAGGGGCGTCCCATATGTTGACTAGTGTGTAAGTGTCTGTCTTGTCACTAATTTTGAGTCTGACCATTCTTTCCTTTCTATCCCTGTCTTTGTGAGTTATTGCCCATCTATCCGATGTCTGTGCTATTCCTACCACTTTACAATGTCTTCCTAAACTGAAATGACCGTTTTTCATTAGTAAATATTGTGGGTACCTTTGTGCGTCACTGCTAGTGTTATTTATATTTGTCTCTTGTAAAAAAAATAAAATCGCATTTGTGTTTATTTGACAATGTTAATCATGTGCTGTTCTTTGTTTCTTCAACTGCTAATATTTAGCGAGAAAGGTATGAGGTTTTCAGTCCTTATGATTGTTTGGATAGTGATGTTTGATAGGCTGAACGTTACTTTACAAATTTTAGAGTTTAACATTTAACCATAAATTGTCAATTTAAGTTAAAAGACTATATCATAAGTTGATTCTACTTCAGAAGACGTGTGGGGAAAAGGTTGCATTAAAAAATTATCTGCGATGAAGATCGCCTGCAGTACATCAAATAATCAAATCTGTATAAAAATCTCACCTGAGAATCTGATTTAAAATACTGTAAAGCATTGCTTACTTATTTTGGCTTCATAGTTTGAGAGGCGTACAGACAGAGTGGGTGATGTTGTGATATGCCACATCTTTCCAGACAGGGAGTGATGTTAATATGGCGTTGTTGTTTTTATATTGTTACAGTTGCGTCCCTTTGTTGTCCATACGGTAGGCTCGTGATTATATTTTGGTTTTCTTAGAAATATGGCTTGTAAAGTCTTCCATAAAATGGAGTCGTAAAAAAATGTTTTTGTCTAGAATAAGGTCCACTTGGCAGTCTCTTATAAGATTATCGCTTGATCAAACGGAATATCAGATGTTCTATTTATAGATTCCCGCCATTTAATAACAAACCCTATTCCAATCTACGTAGAAAGAGACAGACACAATCTGAAACGTTGTTCAAGACATCCTTACAAATGTGAACAACAGCAGTGGATGCAATCAAATCGTTTATTGTTTCTTCAACGATGTAAGGAATAGCACCAAGGCTAAATTGAAATAAGTTTAATGTTTTTGAGCATTCCACTGTTGGAAAACCGTGGTGGGGTTTCATTGGATGCTCCTTAATCTGATGCTTCAAATTGAAGACCTTAGTGCTAAAAGTACTTAAGACACACACATGCTCCTTTGGAAATAATCATATTCTTTTCGTCTATAAAATTTGATAATTTCATTTTTTGTCTTGTTTTTTTAAAAGGACTTAAGTAAATTTTACAGTGTTCAAATTTCTGCAGTGAACTTGGCTATACTTAGTCAGAAAAGGTCACAGTTTGGATTGATTGTTACAAAAATGTGACTTAAGTACTTTTATCACTATGGTCTTCAATTGTTCTTTTAGTTAATCCTAATTTTCTGAATGCCTTTCAACACCTGTTCGTGTACCCCGATGGACTACATCCTAGCACTCCGTCCTTCATCCATTTCATCGTGGGGGCATGTTCACTGAGAGTCCTTATATTGAATTAAACTTAAGAAAATATTGATGATCCTAGGCAAACGACAGCCATGCCGAAAAGGGAGGCACCTGTTTTAATAGAAGAACATAATCAACAGTGAGTTATTGTACATAGCTCACACAATATCGTGGGGGACTATAAGAGGTGGCTGTTAATGTAACAACATATATCACGCATTACAGTGGGGTTGGGGGCTACTGGCGTGACTGTTTGTGTAACAACATAGATAACGCAATATCATGGGGTGTGGGGCTACTGGCGTGACTGCTAGTGTTACAACATAGATCACGCAATATCGTGGGGGGTTACCGGAGCTGACTGTTAGTGTAAAATATAGGTCATGTAAAATGGTGGGGTACTTATCGAGATTGCTGTTTGTATACGAACAAGATAATTTAGTATCGTGGGTATATTCCTATTTCATTTGAAATGTAAATCAAGTATCTTTTCACGGAGCGGGATTCAAACCAAGGCTCAAAACGTCACATCAAAAAATATATGGAGAAAGCCTACTCTAAACAACCCTCACGCAAACGACATCCACACGTTGTTACAAAGTGGACAAGCCAGGTAGACAGGACATGTTTAGAGAGTGCCAGAAAGCAGACTACTAGACAGCAGACTGCCTATAAAACAAATGGGAAATTTCTTAAACAACGAATGTGAAATTTCTTATATAACCAATGTGGATTCCTATACAATTATTAGGACATTTTTCACAGAAAAAAAATGAACTGGTGGCCAGATAAACTGCTTTATATATATTCTTAAAATTGTCCGTAAATCCATAGGCACATCATATACCAGGACTCATTAAAAAAACCCACTTAATTTAGATGTCCCAAGCTAGCGAGGCAAGCTCACTATGAGAGAACAATCTTCAGAGAGAGAGAGAGAGAGAGAGAGAGAGATAGATAGAGAGAGAGAGAGAGAGAGAGAGAGATAACGCACCGTTTACGTCCATGCAAGTCTTTATAAATATCAGTATGTTTTTTATGTCACTTTAAATAATGTTTTACCCAGTTTCGTTGATCGTGTTGTGCGGACCGGAATAGCCAGGCGCATGGACAGGTGATTTGTACAAGTGCACCCGCCAGGCCAGTTTCCTTTGATCTCCTGTTTGAGATAGCGTTGTCTTTTCTCATAGTTTGACAAGCAGCGAACAATTTTTAATTAATAAATTCAGATAACTTTCCCATTTTTTTTACATACCAATGAGAGCAGTGAAGCTTTCAGGATGGATCTTTGCTGCTGTAAAGGGGGAAAGATATACTTTTATTATATCAGATCTTATGCCGGGTTAGATTATTATCCTATTGAGTTCTATTCAAACTTCCGTTGACCAAAATGTTTGAATAGAAATTTCTAAATCTTACGTCCTACTACTAAAACACAATAAATGTATTTTGTGAAATAAATATGACAATTCCTACAAACACAGTTTTTGAATAAATCCTTTTTAAATTTTAAAATAATTGTAATACAATTTGTATATTAATGTTCTAATGTCCCAGCCACTTTAAAACCACTTTAAAACCACAGACTTATGTTACCCAATATTACAGAAAAACAAAAGAAAATATTACGCACCAAACACACTTGAAATTAAAAAAAAAATAAAATATATATAGCGCAGTTATCGGGAATTTTAATTTGTGAACTAAGTGGCATCATATTTTCTACATCTTCCAATTGAAAAACAAAAAGAACAGACAGAATTTTGAGGGTTGGGATGGGGTGGGGTAGGCGGCTGAAAATTTGATAGAAATGTTTTCATCGGCAACAAGTCTATATGTTAATTTCAGCTCAGTAGGTTTGACGGGAAGTGGGTCAATTAGCCGTACGAAAATGTTGCCCTAAACAGAATAAAGCAAAGTCAATAGAAAAAATTAGGAAAAAAGAACATCTCCAGATTACCATATTCCAGCTGCCCTAATTTAAGCTCTTTAATCTACATTCTACGTCTGACGATATCCCCTTAAAAACTGACAATGCAGAACTAGTGACCTATAAGAGAACCACCGTACTTGATTACCTCGATTAGCTGAACGTTCTGTGCACGAAGGGTTACCTGAAAAAAAATACAAGTTTCCAATGAGACAAGACATCATTTATTTGGGAGATTTGCACGGGCTCTTTTAAATAACAGTCCATCGACGAGGCGTCACAGGAGAGATGAACTCTAAGATGTCTGGGTTTTTTCTTTGTTATTACTTAATAACACACTTGAAACAGACTCATTTTGATGCCGGTAACGTATACATATTCCGTGGAAACTTATGAACAAACTACTCACAGTATACGACAGGCAGAGGTAAACTACTCTCCGTGTAGGATGGGCTGGGGCAAACTACTCACCGTATACGACAGACAGGGGCAAACTACTCACCGTATGCGACAGCCAGGGGCAAACTTCACTCCGTGTAGGATAGGCAGGGGCAATCTACTCACCGTATACGACAAGAAGTGGCAAACTACTCATCGTATTCGACTGGCAGGGGCAAACTACTCTCCGTGCAGGACAGGCAGGGGCAAACTACTCACCGTATTCGACAGGAAGGCACAAACTACTCACCGTATACGACAGGCAGGGGAAGACTACGACTATTATACCAGCGCCTAAATGCGTAGTGCAAGATGACGTCACCACGGCTTTGCTCAAGTTTTGCCGTAATGTTGCACTTGACGCGGACGAATTTGTTATCCATGAACGTGCATTTGCAAGTGTCGATAGGGATTTGAGCAAGATCCTTGCAGGCTTCATTGTATAAATAAATGACGGTATATTCAAGCTATACACAGATAGAGAGTGTAGAGCTTTAATTAATTTTTATAATCTAAAGACACTTGTATCGTTAGTATTCATTGGATGATTCTTTAATTCAAATTGTGTTTAAAACAGTGTTAACTGAATTAAATCTGAACGGATGTATAACATAAAAGTACAAGTGCTCTTGTCTTAGTAAAATGTTTTTTTTTAAATCTTTAAAAAGTCACCGCTTCTCTCCCAAAATTGAAATTCACCATTTTCCTGGTCTACCAGCCGTTTTCACCCATGGGAATACCTTTTTTTTCTTAATTCCAAAGTAGCCACATACCTTGAGTGTCGTAAGGAGACCATGTGAACCATTGAGCCTACATCTTACATGAAATACTTCCCCCCACCCCTACCCTACGCCAATCGTCTCCCTTCTGTTTTTCAGCCTATCCACACTACACTAAACCAAACCACATCCCTGGGGTACTCGAACAGTCAGCCCTTACGGACCTTTGTATTGGTAGTCAACTAGCTGACTGAGACCAACGGGGGGATAGAAAGAGGTCCGCTAAAACCGGCGATTGTGTGGACCGTCGGCAGTGGTACAATTTCTCTGAGAATGAGAAAGCCACACTAATCGATGGGCCTCCTTGCTTTGCTTAGACCTCGAACTTGAAGAACATATGCTGAAGAAATTCGACCACTCTACACCAAACCACTTTCAACATTTTCAACATAGAAATACGAAAAAGGGGGGGGGGGTTAATAATTGAAAACTCTGTTTTTTATTTATTTTTTTGTTATTTATTTATTTTTTTTTGGTCGCGAGGGGGAAAAAGGGGGGGGGGGGGATTTTAAAAAAAGTTAATTTAAAAAAAAGGAAAGGTTGCTTAAGAATCTATTGTGTCATGATTTTGTAAAATGGTGTTGCCAGAATGACCTAATTGCTCTCAAGTTAGCTTTGTTGCTAGAATTAGCTACTTACCAAGTACATGTAAGAACGGTATTTTTGAATCCAAATGGCAATCGCTCCTTTCGGACCGTATTCTAGTCCGCTAATGTTGACAAGACCCTTGACCACGAAGTAGTCTTGTCCGGCTAGCATAGCATTGCCGCAGCTTTTTTTGAAAGTGTTTTGATCAAATGGTTCCAAAAAGGTTCTTGTTGGATCAACCCAACCGCTGCAAACTGCGTGTGGAAATATAGTGGAAATATATGGGAAATATAGTGGAAATATAGTGGAAATATATGGGAAATATATGGGAAATATAGTGGAAATATAGTGGAAATATATGGGAAATATAGTGGAAATATAGTGGAAATATATGGGAAATATATGGGAAATATATGGGAAATATAGTGGAAATATAGTGGAAATATATGGGAAATATAGTGGAAATATATGGGAAATATAGTGGAAATATATGGGAAATATAGTGGAAATTTATGGGAAATATAGTGGAAATATATGGGAAATATAGTGGAAATATATGGGAAATTTAGTGGAAATATATGGGAAATATAGTGGAAATATATGGGAAATATAGTGGAAATATATGGGAAGTATAGTGGAAATATATGGGAAATATAGTGGAAATATACAATTGTGCGACAATTTGATTTGTAAAACATTTTCATTCTTGGCTAATTTTTCTCCTTTTGTAATAATAATATTTCACCCCACCCTTATATTTCCTTTCCATTACTAAATTACACACTGCTGGTCATCTGATGCATCCTGGTATATTTTTAGCCGTCTTGACCAATTCTTGCCATTGGATAAAATAAGCAAGGACTAGAGATGTGAAGCTGACGAATCGAACTAACTTACCTCACTTGAAATAAAACACAGCAAAAGACAAGGCTAATAATCAAATCGAAAATAGCCCGGCTCATCGACGCGTGCGAAGGACGAAGAACAACACAAAGATCAACACAAAGAACAACACAAAGAACAACACAAAGAACAACACAAAGAACAACACAAAGAACAACACAAAGAACAACACAAAGAACAACACAAAGAACAACACAAAGATCAACACAAAGAACAATACAAAGAACAACAAGAAGAACAACACGAAGAACAACACAAAGAACAACACAAAGATCAACACAAAGAACAACACAAAGATCAACACAAAGAACAAAACAAAGAACAACACAAAGAACAACACAAAGAACAACACAAAGAACAACACAAAGAACAACACGAAGAACAACACAAAGAACAACACAAAGAACAAAGAACAACACAAAGATCAACACAAAGAACAAAACAAAGAACAACACAAAGAACAACACAAAGAACAACACAAAGAACAACACAAAGAACAACACGAAGAACAACACAAAGAACAACACAAAGAACAACACAAAGAACAACACGAAGATCAACACAAAGAACAAAACAAAGAACAACACAAAGATCTACACAAAGAACAACACAAAGAACAACACAAAGAACAACACGAAGAACAACACGAAGAACAACACAAAGAACAACACAAAGAACAACACGAAGAACAACACAAAGAACAACACAAAGAACAACACAAAAAACAACACAAAGAACAACACAAAGAACAACATAAAGAACAACACAAAGATCAACACAAAGAACAACACGAAGAACAACACAAAGAACAACACAAAGAACAACACAAAGAACAACACAAAGAACAACACGAAGAACAACACAAAGAACAACACAAAGAACAACACAAAGAACAACACGAAGAACAACACAAAGAACAACACAAAGAACAACACAAAGAACAACACGAAGAATAACACAAAGAACAACACAAAGATCAATAGAAAGATCAACACAAAGATCAATAATCAATGAGCTGTCCCTGATTTAATAAATTATTTTGTGTTATAATTATAACACTGCTGCCAAGAAACGACGGATGAAATAAATTAAAATATGTTATTATTATTTTTTAAAATGTTTATTTGTAATGTTTCAGTATGTTTTAACCAGTGCTTTTCTTTATGCAAAAACATTGTGACGATCAGTAAGATTTATCATTGCCAAACATTGATTTAGCAGCACATCCCAAGACATCATTGACAAGGCAGTGAAATAAATTATTACTTTTTTCATTTTTAAAATCTTACCTGATCCAATGACTGGAAATAGCAGAAGAACTAGAAGTGTGACTTTAATTTCAAGCATACTAAACATGAATTCAGCTGAAGCCACAGGTCACAGGCCACGGGTCATAGGCCACGGGTCACAGGCTCACTGGATATAATGCCAGGAAAATATGAAACACAGAAAAAAGTGTTAGCAAGGAATCACGAAACAAAAAAAATGCACCTATTTTTTTTCATTCTGACATCCTATTTTACATGCCCACATTGCCATCAGTTAAGGTCGAACTATTTACTTAATGAGTAAAAGACAAATGGTACGAAAAGACATTAAACAACATGTTCTTTTAAGCATACTCTAATAACTGTGGCGCTAAACAGTAAAGATCTATAACCACACTAAGACGAAGTAGTTCGTTTCAGCTCAAAACATCATCATCATCATAAAAATAAGAACATAAGAAATAAACTTGGAGTGAGCAGAAACACTTCTTGTTGACATTTCTGTAGCATTTTTACGGTTGCGGTCACTGGCCTTACACCAACCCTCCTCCTAGCTGGCCTCTCGCCAACACACCACCTAGCTGGCCTCACGCCAACCCTCCTCCTAGCTGGCCTCACGATAACCCTCCTCCTAGCTGGCCTCACGCCAACAATCCTCCTAGCTGGCCTCACGCCAACCCTCCTCCTACCTGGCCTCACGCCAACCCTCCTGCAACTGGCCTCACGCAAACCGTCCTCCTAGCTGGCCTCATGCCAACAATCCTCCTAGCTGGCCTCACGCCAACCCTCCTCCAACTGGCCTCACGCCAACCCTCCTCCTAGCTGTCCTCACGCCAAACCATTACCTAGCTGGCCTTACGCCAAGCCACAACCTAGCTGGCCTCACGCCAACCCTCCTTCTAGCTGGCCTCACACCAACCCTCCTCCTATCTGGCCTCACGCTGTTGAGACGTTGTATCTTTTGTGATGCAAATCATCCACTCATGGCAATGAGTGTCTATTCATCAAGCCGGGTCTCCCACTTGATCACCAAACAGCATTACCAATAGTAATAGTCTCCAAATCAACAAACACTCCACGGTTCGATGCAATATATAAATTTAATATGCCTCTTCAACATGACAATCAGTGTACTGCCCTATACAGCTTGTAACCGTTCAACTTCACAATATATCTAGTTGAAATCCTCATACATAGAAACATCAAACAGGAAGCTATATCTTGAATAGTTCAGAACGGCCATCTCTCTTCTCCAACAACACTAAAACTAACGCGTCACTTCCCATTACACAATTACGTCACAACACTCTCTCACACATGATACAGCTACACGTTAAATCTCTAACTCAACATCCTTTACCTATCAAACATGACAACAATGCTCTACACATTACAACAATGATTCTCATACCCTTGACATATACCCCCTCTTCCGCTAGATTCTACACTCCGAGTAGAATCATCCAAAATGAAAAGTCAGGGTATGGAATCACTGTTTGGTCGTACTGACTCATACAGCAAGTAACAATCTCAAACAAGTAATTATATAAGTATTATTTTGTTTACAATTATTAATCTAATTACATAGATTTTACACGCATAAACAACAACAAAAATCATGGGTTATTTATATCATATCTAAATAATTACTGTTCATAATAAATCAAGGAAGAAAATCCTTACAATAACATAATGATTTTAAAGCAACTATAACTAATCATCTGTAACATAAAAAATAAATAAAATAAAAAATCGTTATCTTCACCTCCCAACTCATGGACTTGAAAACTCACATCCTTCTTCTTCTTCTATATCTTAAGGGCCCACGATCAATTTATTGATCATTTTGGCTCCTATGCATGTAGATGGGATTTGCAATGTTTCTGTTCCTGGTGGTGATGAGGAAATTTCACAGATTTCCAGTGCCACTTTGTGAGGGAATCATGCACTGGGGGTTTGAAGGCTTGAGGCAATAGACACAAATGTGTCTAGTGTTGTCGCCTCAACCGTTCCTTTTGAAAGGAACATCCTTTAACATCCTCCACAAACAATTTGTTTTTCTCACTATTGTCGAGATAAAAAATCTGCAATAGTGTTTTCTTCTCCTTTGATATATTCAATGTCAAAATTAAATTCCTGTAAATTTAATGCCCATCTGGTGACTCTCGAATTACAGAATTTAGCGGTATTTAAATATTTTAATGCTTGGTGATCCCATTGAAGAATAAATCTCGCACCCATAAGATAATAAGCCAATTTTTGAATGCCCCATATTATGGCCAAACATTCCCTTTCTATTGTTGAATAGCGCGTTTCCCTATCCATTAGTTTACGACTTATGTACTTAACGGGATGAAGGATGTTGTTTCTGTTCTGCAAAAGACATGCCCCCATTCCTTGGTTGAAGCGTCAGTTCTAAAAGTAAAAGTTTTGCTATAGTCTGGTAACATTAAAATAGGTTTACTAGTTAAATACTTTTGTATTGTGTCTAATGCCTGTTTGCTTTCGCCCGTCCAAATGATATTATTCGGTTTACCTTTTTTGTGTCAGGTCCGTCAAAGGTGCCGTAAGTGTACACAAGTTAGGTATGAACTTATTGTAATAAGAAATGAAACCCACCAAACTTCTAACTTGTTTCTTGGTCCATGGGTTCTCTATTGTCAACACTTTATTTAAATTGTTGTCGTTCGGTTTTAGTAATCCACCTCCTACCGTGTGTCCCAAAAAATTAATATACTTTTTCCCCAGCTCCAACTTACTTGGTTTAACGGTAAATCATGATTTCTTCAGGAAAGTGAAGACTTGCCTTAGGACCTTAATATGGGTTTCCCAGTCTTCTGTATGTATGCAAATTTCATCAAAATATGTCACTACGTGATCTAACTGCCCGAGGAGTTTCCTTATTATCCAGTTAACTGTTGCCGGGGCGGTAGCTAATCCGAACGGCATATATTTAAATTGATATAATCCCTCTGGCCCATGAAAAGCAGTATATTCTTTACTAACGTCGTGTATTAGTATCTGCCAGTAGCCCTTATAGTTAAGTCTAATTTACTAAAAAACAATGCTTTTGCCATGTGAGCCATTGGCACATCCTGATTTGGAATAACTTCAGCAACCGTTCTAGTTACAGCATTAAGTCTCCTATAGTCGACACAAGTTCTTAACGAGCCATCTTTCTTCTTTATTAACACTAAAGGTGAAGTATATGGTGAGTTGGATTCTTCTATGATTTCAAGGTCTAACATCACTTTCATTTCTTCCCTTAGCTTTCCCATCATAATGTAGGGTTTTAATGTTATCGATTTGTTATCTAACAGTTCCATTTGATGTTCTCCTATTGATGATTTTCCCGGAATATCAGAAATTACTCCTTGAAATTCATGTAAAATCTTCTTTATTTCTTCCATCTGTTTATCATTTAATTCCTTATTAATGTCTAACTCCGTGGATTCAGCTACATTTATTGTCGGTACATTCAGTTCTTCCTCGTCTGTGTTTGGCTGTCCTCCGCTATCACCACGGCCACCCCACCATGGTTAACGTTAATTTTTTTCTCCTCTTTATCAATAGTTGATCCCTCTCTGTCAAAATACTTGACAATCCTATTGAGATGATAAACTTTCTTCTTCTGTCCTCTTTTAACCTCAACATTAAATTTTGATATAATTCTAGTTACTTCATACGGTCCCTCTGAATTCAATGTCAACTTGTTTCCTTTCCTTGGCTTAAGCACTAATACTTTCTCGCCTATTTGAATGTCTTTGACAACTGTATTGCGGTCATAATATAATTTATGTTTTGCTGTCTTAGATTTTGTGTTGGCTTGGGTCTCCTCCAAACCGGTTTTCAATCTATTCCTCAGATCAATAATGTATTCATATATGGTTTTATTTTCTTCCTCAATATTTTCTTTTGTAAATAACATTTTTAGAATGGACATAGGGCCTCTTACTTTTCTACCAAACATCAATTCATATGGTGAAATCAACGTGGTCTCATTGGGAACTTCCCTGTAGGCAAACAGTATGGCCGGTAAAATGATATCCCAGTTTTCAGGTTCATTTTTAGCTACTTTTCTTAACATGTTTTTTAAAGTGCCATCTCCACCATTCCGTTCCATTATGGATAGTATATTGACGAATGATTGGTGCTAATATTAAGGAGTTCACACACCTACCCGTATAACTTCGACGAAAATTGAGGCCCATTATCTGACAAGATTACCTCAGGAAAACCCATTCTTGTAAAGATAGTAACTAGTGCTTCACATACGTCTTTTGTTGTCACATTTTTCAATGGAACTGCCTCGGGCCACCGGGTGGCCATATCAATTAATGTAAGTATATATCTATTTTTCTTAGTGCTCGTGTGTAGGGGTCCAACAATATCTATTGCCACTTTTTGGAGAGGTACCCCAATGACTTGCATCCGTCCTAGCTCTATGGGTTTATATCAACCCAGGAGGTCTAGCTTTCTGGCATATAGGACATGTTTTAACATAGTTGGTGATTTCTTTGTTCATGTTCGGCACAAAAAATTCGGAACATAGACGGTATTTTGTCCTCCTGACGGACATGTGTCCAGCCAAAGCCGACTAGTGAGCAGTTTTTAACATTATCGGCCGGCATTTTAGCGAGTCAACTAATTTTCTGTCAACTTTACTATTAGTCTTTTTGGTAAATACCCTATACAGATACCCATTTCTATTTTGAAACGTGATGACTCCCTGTCTTGTATGCTCCACGCTATTAGTTTTTGCTTTATCCCAATACTTATTTAATTTCTGGTCTTTTAATTGTTCCTCTTTCATTTTCATATTTTCTGGGAACCCAGGTACTGGTCCTTATCCGATGATACTTTCTGTTGCCCTATCCTTCTCCATTTCTCTTGTACTCTGTGCTCTCGTCACTACATTTCCATATTGATATAATGCTATCTGTGTTTCTTCTCCTACATTCCCTACAATTAGAATCGGCAACTGGGTTCTCGAACAGGGCGGTCAAAAATGTGCCCTTCAAATACTTAGTATCTATGTCCACATATGCAGTTTTGTAACTCTTTATTGTCCCGTCTAAAGTTCTCAAATTATAATTTACATTCGTAAACTGCTGCCTAGGAACTAACCCTCTTCTGCACCCAACTATTGTG